TTTATATATATATATATATACATTATATACTAATCTCAAGTTTTTGCTGCAACATACTGTACACAGATGTACATATATACATGAATTTCAGAAGGGTAGCGTAAACCGCGATCGATGGGAGGTCGCCTGTCGCCGTATCATCATTGTATCCATTGTACCTTCCATGGGAAAAAAAAATCAAGAATCGGATCAGCACAATTTTGGAAATCCTTTGCACAGAAATCTCTACATTTATTCGTGACAGATGGAAACGATGTTTCATTTAAAGCGATGTTTCATTTAAAGCGCACATCGTAAATTCGAAGATAGATATACATCTGGTTTCGATCCCGGAGGCGACATAAAAATGCGTCGCCAACAATTATCGTAGCGATCGAGATATCCTCGTGAGAGCTTATACTTAATTATTGTTAGAAAATAAGTGCTTTCCAACAGGACAATCAAATGACATAGATAACATATGAATCATTCTATCTTCGTTTAACATTGGCAAACAACAAGAATGTAATTTTTTTTTAATGAATGTAAAATAAAAAAATGTAATTATCTTTTATTGGAAAGCACTCAATATTCTTCCTTTTTACTTTATGGCATCTATCTTTCTGGAGTAGGACTGTTATTTTTGACTGATTTGAAGATTCGAATTTTTTCGATGCTCTGAAGTTTCGAAATTTAAGACCTTCAAAGCTTTCAAAAAGTACATTCGTACTTTTAGTACGTGCGGATGACGAATTTAGTCAAGAAATGCTAAAAATATTGTAAACAAAAGAATGAATTAAAATACATCCTGGAAAAATGTGATATTCTTAAATAATTTGGATAGCAAATTAAATAGTAAATTAATATGAATGTTTTGGCTTTATTAATTATAAATCTTCCTTAACGTAAAAGAATTTTAAGAACGGAAACTCGAGACAGAAATGTAAAATCGAAAGTGATTAAACTTACATATTTTTTTTATTTATTTGTTACAATATGGAAATATTTTATTTCAAATTTTGTCATAATTTTATAAATGCGCACCTATTAATATTAAATTAATAATTGTCTAATTTTGATTGTTCGAAGCTTCGAATCTTTGAAATTTTAAAGTTCGAATGTCAAAGCCTTTAAAGTAAATCATTTGAAACAGGTTTTTTTAAATACTAT